TTAATACTCTACAAAAATATCTTAAAAAAAATTTTTTTTAAGATATATAAAAGCTGAAAAAATTTCTCGCTAGTAGATCTGCACTAGAAAAACTGTTAATGAATGTCCTTAAGACAATAGGAAAATGATACAGACAGAAATAGGATCTACACAAAGGAATAAAGAACACTAAAACTGGTAACTACATGGGAGTCTTATGATCTACGAGGTCTCTGAAAAAGGGTCTCTAATTATAAGATCTTCTCTTTATCATCTATATATCTTATTAAAAACAAGCACACACATTAAAAAAAAAATCTATCTTTCCTCCCTCCCCGCTCTCAAAGCACACATACATGAGAAACACAGAATTAGAAGATTTCCTCCATGCCATTTTAGGAGGAAATCATGCTGTGGCTAGACTTCTAATGGAATATTTCAACTACTTTTCTCAAAAAAAACTTACAAGAATGCTTTATCATACAACAGTCTGTGTCATTAACTACATTAAATCTATAAAAACAAATCTTTAACACCCCAGCACTTGTCATATTAATATAAAATATTTTTCAAAGACTTTTAAGAGAGCAAATATCACTGTACCAGATATTTTTAACAATTAATGACTGGAAATGAGTAACAAATTTTGCTCCAAGCTCCAAGCAGCCAAATGAAATGGTAAACATACTGGGTTATATAGTTTTCATTGCCTGGCAACAAAGAAAGCATATAAATTTTTGGTAATTTTTAAAAATTTTTATCAGAAATATATCAAACAACTTGCGATTTTTTTTAAAAAAAAAAGGTTTTGTTAACATGGTACATAATAATAGTTATAGCTAATATGTTCTAACCATTTATAATATCAAAGCACTATATAGTAACACTTTTATGTTGTCTCATTTCATCTTGACAATCATCTTATGAGCCAGGCACTATTATTATTCTCATTTGCTACAAGTACACGTGACCCAGACATGTCTTTTAAATGAATGTCTTTTATATGGTTTTTCTATAAAAGCTAAAGGGATATTAAATCTTAGAAAAGGCATTTTGCAGGTAGACAAGATAATACATGTGTATTTTAAAAATAATCATCTTTCATAAACCTTCATTGAAATATCTCTGGCTGATCTTACTCTGTCGATTTACTGAACTTAACTCACAATTTGTACAAATTGCAAACATCCATTAAAGCAAATGGCTAAATTGCTCAAATGTATGAATACATATAGAAATTTCTTTAGCTTATTTATGCCAGATAAATATCACATAGAAATCAGGTATGTTTATCTTGAAAAATAAAAATTTACCAGATAAATTATATTTTTCAGCAAACATTTGGAAGTTATCATGTGGAGAAATGTCCAATGTCATTTTGTGTAGGTCCAAGGAAAAGTACATGAACCAACAGGGAGTCTGTAGGGAGGATAATTTCATTGCAATACAAGAGAAAAAAAAAATGCTTAACATACTCCAATCCAAAAGTGGAACTGGATCACTTAAAAGTTCACTAGGTTCTCTAGCACTGAAGCACTGAAGCAGAGAACAAAGAGCCACGTGTCACAGATCTTCCAAAAGGGAACTAGCTATGTTTCGGATAGTATATTAGTTTCCTAAAGCTGCCATTAACAAAATAGCACAAACTAGTGGTTTAAAACAACAGAAATTTATAGTTTCAAAGTTCTGGAGGCTAGAAGTCCAAAATCAAGGTGTCAGCAAAGCCATGCTCCCTCTGAAAACTGTAGGGTGAATTCTATATTGCCTCGTCCAAGCTTCTGGTGGTGTGCAGACAATCCTTGGCCTTTCCTGGCAGCTGCAGCACTTGAATCTGTTTTTGTCAACATAAGATGTTCTCCCAGTCCTCACTCTCCCCCATCCACATGTTTCTGTCTCTGTGTCTGTTTTCTTGTAAGAAACCAGTAATACTGGATTAAGGGCCCACCACACTTCAGTATGACCTCATCTTAACTAATTACATCTGTAAAGATCTTATTTCCAAAATAAGGACACATTCGGAGGTACTGAGAGTTAGAACTTCAACGTATCTTTTTGGGAGACACAATTCAACTCATAAGAGATATGAAAGAGAACTAGATGATTATTAACTCTAAAACACTGAGGTTCTAGGTTCGTATAAGACAAGAAGTGTAACATTATGTATGAACAGAACAATTCTGACTCATTCACTTATTTATTTATACATCTTTCATTCCACAAATATTTTCTAGGCATCATCTTGAGCTCTGGAGACACACTGAAAAAAAAAAAAAAGTTCCTGCCCTCATGGAGCCTGCATTCACCCAGAATAAAAACGGCTATTATTTGCAAGTATCTCTTATGTGCCAGACACTCTACTAAAAATATGTTATCTCATTAGTCCTCACAACAACCCCTGTTAGGTAACGATTTTTATCCTCTTTACCACATGAGAAATCTAAAGCAAAGGAACATAGCTATTTGTTGAAGGTCATCATCTTCCTGATAAACTGATTCTTTTTTTGTTGTTGTTACAAAAATGTCCTTTTTATCTTTAGTGAACTCTTTGTCTTGAAGTCTACTTTATCTGATATTACTATAGTCACTCCAGTCTTAAGTTTACTATCTGCATGTGCATGGTACAAATAAGCATGTATAAATGTTACTCTAAAGAAACAGAGTAATCACATTTACAATGCCTGAAGAATATTTTGAATACCTTGGGTTCACGACTCAGAGATTCCATTCACATAGGCTTCTCAATTTTTGCAAAACAAATTATTACACTTCCCTCTGAAGTTCTTTTTTTGTTTAAATGTCTTAAATATTCCTAGGTATGAAACAGTAAACACAATGTAGAGGCTCCAGCCCAAGCTTAGTGGCAGTGTTCCCAACAATGGAAGATTTCAAGATATTGAATGACAAACTTCCAACACTGCTGTCAAAGGAATTCATGAATTGGGTGATATGCCATACTAGATGACTTGAAAGGTGCCTTTTTACTATATAAAGACTCCAATACTAATAACACATTATTTGCACAGCAGAAATACACAGCTGTTGCTATTCAGAGATCAAATGAATATAAAAAAATATCACTTCTAATACTTACTAATTTGAAATTTACAGTAAGTTTGGTGAAGTTTAGCTTCGCTCTACTTTCTAAGCAAATAAAAATAAATAGTGTGAAAAATAACTAAAGAAACTGTAGTCAGTACTTTAGTACCAACTATATTTTGCTTTACAGACTCCGTTTACTTTACATTATATATAAATTAGGTGCACACATTATTTTTAGTGTCTTTAAGAAGTTCCTTAAAAATAACTGTCTTTTTAAGCCATTTTACAATACTTAGTTATAATACTTAGAAGAAAAATAGTAAATCTTTAAAAAAATTAATTCTAAATTTTTTATCAATTCAAACTGGCCTTTCCTTCAATTATTCTGAATAGTAAAAGATTATTTAAATCAAGATAGATAAGAGGATGCAAATTTACATAAAATAACAGTTTCTTGGCCAAACCCTATATAGTAGCAAACATTCTAGAATATAAGAAAAAATATTAAACTGTACCTGTAGATATAGCAAAATATTTAACTAAGACTATAGAGAGAATTTACCAAATTTACCAAAACTATTTACCTCCACTAAGCATCTGCCTTTTTTTTATATATTAACTATATTTCCTTACCTGCATCTTCATTTCTTCTAAGTCTTTAGTTTTCTCTACTAATTCCCCTCTTAGCTCTTCAAGCAGCAGCTGAAGTTTTTCCTGGTTACTTTGCTTTTCAATCAACAGGCGTTTAAGTTCATTTTGTGACTTCGTGTACTCATCTTGCAATCTGATTTTTAAAAAATGAAGGATTCAATTTTAAGTGTATCTTTCGCTTTTTATTTACATTACTTTATGTAAAGTCAACCAACACTACAGAAAAAGAGCAACATCATATATTCCATTAAAATTGCAAGTATCTTTTCTTTTTAGAGTTTCATTTAATTATTAACACTGTAGTCTCTGAATACAATTTAACTTTGAGAGGAAAAATCAAAATTTAGCCACTCAGATACATTTGTCTTGCTACTTTCAAAATAAGACTTTAAAAAATTCACAATCCACTTGATATCATGCTTAGTTTAGAATAAAGTAATTTTAAAACAAAAACTTTACTGTATTAAAAGTTTTAAATGTATTGAATATATTGCAAAATAACAAAATTATACTATATGTTGCAGAGCATACACTCAAAAAATTTAATCAAACCTCTCACCTCCAAATTTAATTTACCTTGTGTGTTCAGCTTTCAGAGTCTGATAATTAGTTTTATGGTGGTCACATCTTAACCTTTCATCAATTAACATTTTTTGGAACTCAGCTTGAGAACTTGTCAGCCCACTGTCTCCACTAGGGGGAAAATTGGTGGGAAAAGTGTCCATATTGATAGGTGAGCTGACAACCATGTAAAAATAATTTCTGGTTTTCTTATTATCTTAGTTTTCTTTCCAAGAGTATTTTCCACTTCTTTCTTGCTAAGGCAGAATCTTGGGAGGCCAAATTATACCTGCACAGAGAAATACACTTAATTAACAATCAGTGAACTCCTTCAGTGTTACATATTTTTTATCACTTATTATTCTCATTTCTATAATAAAACCCAATTTTCATATTTTCAGTTGTTCATAAAACAAAATTGAAGAATAAAGTTGAATCATACCTTAATGAATTTTCTTTACTTCCTTGCAAAGTTTCTGTGACCATCAAGGTCACATCTTCAGGTAGTAACCTAACTAGAAGTACTGACTTTTCCAGTTTAGGTACTCCTGGATTCACAAACCCCAAGTGTTTCCTGAAGCTACTGGGGTAAACGTCAAGGGTGGATCCTGGTACAAAATCCATACCCTGAAATCAAGGGAAAAGCCACGTGGAACTTGGTAAATGGGGAGGAAGAATCGTAGTCTTCACAAAGATGACCTTCAGCAAGTAATTATGTCTTTGATTAAAGCTACAACAGGTCTTTTATTTGACACAAGGTGAACTGCCCTCAGGTGCAAATTTAGATGAGAAATTAGTCAATGCATAAGTATCGATCACCTCCTACATATTATGCACTGTGCCAAGAACAGGAAACTAAATCACCTCAGCTATCCCCAAAAGCACTGACCTAAGATTATGAAAGTACTTAAATGTTTGTTTTATTGAAAAGTTAAAAATCACGACACTGAGTTTTTATTGTAAATAATTTAAAATATCTTAATCAAAATGAATCTGTCACCTTTAACTTCATTAATTTGTCTCAAAACTACTGTATATATATATTTTTTTCCCTAAGAGCATCTCCCTCAGTCATGGGTTATCATGAATTACCTTTACTTACTACAAGAAAAGATCTTTAGCTTACATAAAACCACCATTAAATTACCCAGTCTTGTTTGAAATATACTATTTCTGATAAACTAATGTGATGTCTGAATATTACATTATAAGACTTGTAAACTAAAGTTGGGGTTTCTGTGGTTTCCTATTGTATTTTAATAGAGGGGAAAAAGTCCTCCACGGATGCTTGTTATACCTTACTCCTATGTTAACTGTGCACCAGGATTGAACCTGTGCAAATGCAGAGCATACTGCTTGTAGCAGCTGCCACAACCTTATTCTGTCAAAAGTACACAAATGAATTGGATCATAAAACTTGCATTTAATTCTCATTCTGCTCCTTGATCCAAATGAATTTTTAAGAGATAAAAACATGTAATAAACCTACCTCACAGTTTCTAATAATACCACCACAAGGTATGTAGGGTTTAATTTTAATTAGCTAAAAGCTTAAAACTACCTTAGAAAAATCCAGAGCTACCCTTTTAGTTCCACTACTAGGGAAAGGTTTCCAAGCTAAAAGGAATATTTCTTTTTTATTCTAGTTAAAATGATAGTAAAGTAAATATTCTCACTGACATCTATTTTAAAATAGGAAGTAAGTCCTCGAGGAAATAAAATTTACTAAGGAAGGCCTAAACATTTCTGTAAAATAAAGTTAAAATGACTTATCTCCTGCCTTTTTAGTACTAAAATCTACTAGAAGTAGTTTTCAAGACTTCACTAATTTCAAGATATCTCTTTCTCAATTACCACCACCATTACTTCATGTCTAATTCTAGCTCCTATGCAAACATGTGTATTGCCCTCTTGTATTTTCCCAAACCAGGAGGATTTTTCCTATTGCAAGATGATGTTTAAAATTTCATTACCTTTTTGTATGTTAATTTCAGTGACTAACAAAGCTAGAATATACTATCACATCACCAGTAAGTATCACACCCAAACACAAATACTTCCTCCAACACACACACACACAAAATTAACATTGTTAATTTGCATATGTACACACAGAAATCAATATTAACCTTTCTGGAAAGTTACCTGTTATGAAAATGGTAAATATGCTTATCCCCTGGCCCAATTCTAGGAATTTATTCTATGAAAATAGCTGGATGAGTACCCAAAAACAATTACATAAGAATTTTCTTTGTAACATTATTTTTAATTTAAAAAAGCAAAATCAGAAATAACCTAAACTTCCATAAATGAAGGTACATCTATACTATGCATTAAAAATGATAAATTACAAGTTGGGTCCCCACTGCCCCAACAGCAGGATGAAGATTATGAATGATCTTCATGAATTATGAAGATAAAACACACATAATTACACATAGTTAAATAATATATACCAAGTTGATAATAGTAACTTTTGGAGTAATAACAATGGGGAGACATCCCATACGGCAACTTGTGTCTTTTACTTTCATCATTTTATTGTTAAATTTTCTTTTCAATAATTATAAAATAATTTTCAAATAATGAACAATTCTATACTCAGCCTATATTCATATTATCTCAAACCAAATTCATCATCCTTGCTTATAATCCACCTTTAAACTGACTTTTCAGCTTCTGGTAATGATACTAGTATAAGGTTAACATTCATCCACACTTAACAGCCCAAAGCTTTCTTTGCTTTCTCTCTCAACATACCATATATAAACACCAAATATTCTTCTTTAAAATGCATTCCATTCTCTCCATTCCCACCTAACCACAAAAAGTTAGGCTCTTATCACCTCATAACTAGTCCATTATTAGAACTTTATGTTATCCTTGCTTCCAATATTTTCTCTTTCTGGTCTACCCCACAAAGTACTGCCAGATTAACATTCAGAAATTTTTATTTGACTTCTCACTCTCACTCAAAAGCTCCTATATGTAAAACGAAATCCAAACATGCCAGCATTTCAAGGCTTTACACAATCAGCCCCAATCTACCTTGTTTAGTCTCATTTCCTACCATCTGCTAAAAATCTCCTACTCCAGCTATATCCTGAACAATTATGCACATCATGCCTTTGTTTATGCAGCTTTGGTTTTGGTTTACGAATCCTACTAATGACAAAAGACTACAGTATGGACAATAATCAAGAACTGTTCTCTATTTCTGTGATGATTAGATAAGAACAGACTTAAACACAATAATTAAGGTTTGATATTGGAAAGAACTTCTTGCCTCAAATTTAAAGTTATAAGCCACTGGGTCGCATCTGCCAATAGTCTTTTTCAGAATTTTTTTCTCTAAAAATATTTAAGAATCATAGAAAACTATCTGCCCATTTGTGAGTCTTACCAAGGTCAGAATGAATTGTATGTCTGTTTTTAAGTATTCTGTACACATCACATTCAGTTCTCCAGTTTAGAAGTAATCAAATTATCAATAACAATCTTGGAAAATCTAGTTATGACGGTCCTCCAAATAGATATCTAGTGTCATCGACAGAAAGATCTCATGAAACTCAATTCCTTCTCTGACCTTCAAAAGTGGTTCCACCATTATACAGCCAAGGTTACAAAGAAAGAACTTCTATTTTTTATATTAATTATATAAGGAGGCTTTTTAGCTAAAAAGAGAAAACCTCGACTCAATTACCTTAATTAAGCACTGAGAAAAATGTATTATCTATTTCTTATATCAAGAAATCTGAAGACAGTCTTCTATTTCAGGTAATAGAAGACTAGGTAATTTGGATCAAGCCTTATGTAAGGACAATAAAAGCTGAATATGTGTTATAGGGTGTTTCTTAGGAGTAAGAGTAATTCAGAAGACAGATATTAGGCTAGGCCTCAAATTACTCTAAAAAACAATTTTACAAATAAAAATACACACACGAGTCCATAAGAAGATAAAGCAACATGAATCAAAGTCACAAGGAAAAACAGACAAACAAGAGTCTAACTATTAAAGTTACCAGACAATGACTCTAAAAGGATTTTTATATATATATTATTGTGTACAAGGCAATAGAAAACAAGGTTGGGAATTTTTTGAGAATTAGAAACCGTAAAAATAATTCGATGGAAACTGCAAATGAAAGATATAACTAAAATTAAGAGCTCAATGAGTGGGTATAACAGCCCCGATTAGACACTGTTTAAGAAGAAATTGGTAGACGGGTTAAAAAAATAAATTCAAGATAAAGTAGAAAGAAACTAAGATAGAAAAAACAGAAAAGAAAGAAATAGAATAAAGTTAAAAATGTTATTCAAACAGACATGCAATTGGATCACAGAAGAAAAGGAAAGAATAGAACAGAATCAAAACCTGCAAAAAACAGGGGTGGGGGGGTGGACAACTTCCCCAAACTGAAGAAAGATATTAATTCTCAGATTCAAAAAGTCCTACAAACCCCAAGCATATAAATGAAAAGAAATCCACACATTAAGACAGATAAAAAACAAAAGCCATGAGAAAATCTTAAAATCTGCCAGAAAAAGAGACAAAATGCCTTCACATAAGCAACAGAAAAACAGGACTGACTTCAACAATGAAAGCTAAACACAATGTAATATTACCTTTATAGTTTTAAAGGAAAATAACTGCCAAACTAACAGCCTATAAATACAATATCAGATAGATAGATAGATAGATAGATGATAGATTTATTTTTATCTTTCAAGAATGATGGTAAAATAAAAACATTTTCAGACAAATAAAACAAATTCATCACAGAAGATGCACACTAAAAGAAACAGTAAAGTCCTTCATATACAAGAAAAATTCTTAGATGTAAACCTGACAATGCAGAAATAAAGAAAGATAAATGAAAACCATAAACATGTGCATAATTCTAATTGAATATTGACTGCATAAAATAATATCTTATGGGATTTTAACATACGTAGACTTAAAATACATGATATAAAAATGGTATATAAATCAGTAGCAGTAGAATTATAAGTACAGAGTCCTTGCTCTTTATGAGAAAAGGCTAATATTAATTGATAAAAGTATTGAGTAATAAAGAATCAATTAATATTACTTTGATAAATCAATAATGCAATAATACTTTGATAAATCAATTATCTCTAGGAAAGGGGTTGGCAAACTATCATGCATTGGCCAAATTTGGCCTGCAGCTGTTTTTGTATGGCCCAAAGCTAAGAATCTTATCTCCCTAAGTTTTTTTAAAAACAAAGAATGAACATGATGCAAAAATCCACAACAAAACTTTAGCA